AGTTGCCCAGGCAACTTGCTATCCTCCTGCCTCAGCCTCCCAGAGTGCCCAGCCTCAAGGTGAAGGTGTTGCTTTTGCTTTTCCTTTGAGGGTGGGGAAAGTGTCTTGGACAGGGAGATTTCATTTTCTGCTTCTAAGAAACAGCACATGTTTCAGAGTGATCTGTAAATGGCATTAACTTAAATAGTCCATATGTCTCAGTGGCATTTTACTTTTTTTTTGTACCAGGGATTGAACTCGGGACCTTTCGCTGGTCAGGCAGGCGCGGTGCCGCTGAGCTAAATCCCTGGCCCTCAATGGCATATTTTTAATTCCTTATGTTCTCTTCCTGGGTATGGTCTACATTCCGCTTGACCTGGCTTCCCTCTCCACTTTGTGTGTACGTGTGTGTGTGTGTGTGTGTGTGTGTGTGTGAGAGAGAGAGAGAGAGACAAGGTCTCGCTATGTAGTCCAGGTTGGCCTTGAACTCATGACAATCCTATCTCAGTCTCCTGAGTGCTGAGATTACAGGCATGCGCCACCCTATCCAACTTCTTGAAAGACTCAGTTTAGCTGGGCATGGGGATATAGCTCAGTGGTAGAGTGTTTGCCTAACATGCACAAGACCCTGGGTTAGAGGGGGAGCGGGGAGAGGGGAGGAGAAGAAGATATATATGTACATGTGGTAATCAACAAATGCAGTGAATGTTTAAATTTTTAAAATTTATTACAGTAAAAAACATTGCCGTTAATCCCCATCAAAATACTTCTAACCTCAAATGCACTTATCCCATCATTCTTGCCACTTTCTGAAGCAGTTCTGCAAGTCCTCTTTCGTGAATGTCTTTACAAGATGTGATAAAAAAAAATATGGTGAATGCTGCTTGGAATTGAAACCAAGACTTCACACAAGCACCCCTCCTATCACTGCTACAGCCCTGGCCCCAAAGTTTCAGAGCCTAATGCTACAAATGCCATAGTGATGTCATGAGCTCCAGGTGTAGTTCAGTTGGTAAAGCATTTATCTAGCATATACTCAAAGTTTGGTTCCCAGTACTGCAAAAATAAATAACATCTCTGAAGCTCAATCCAATAGATTTTTCTTTCAGTCCTGGGGATTAAACCCAGGGTCTCCTCACTGAGGTACATTCCCAGCTCTTTTTTATTTTTTATTTTGAAACCTGGTTTCTCTTAAGTCACTAAATTGCCCAGGCTGGGCTCAAACTTGAGATCCTTCTGCCTCCATGTCTTGAGTGCTGGGATTACAACTGTGTGCCACCACACCTGGCTTATTGATACTGTTATTGTTACATTGAAGAGAGCCCTGGACTAAGAAGCAAGGAGACATAGGTTTGAATCCTATGTCCACTTACTTCTTAGCTGGGTAACATTGAGCAAATCACTTGACCTCTCTGAATCTGTTTTATAAAATGAAGAAGATGAAGACAACATGACAGAATTAGACGCTGTCTGAAGATGTGCTGTTAGGCTGAAAGATGATGCACTAAAGCTCAGTCCCTTGCAGCCTTGAGCCTATAGAACCATTCAGTAAACGGCAGCCACACGTACTAACTTCTAAGTACGTCCCAGAATCGGGAGCCTTGTCCCTCTGAGGCCCAGCAGATGTGACCTTGCTGGAGTGTGGGTAGGCCCTCACCTGAGCAAGTCGAGAAGTTATTGTTAGCTGTTCTTTCCACTGAGATTGTGTGTTTCTCAGGCTGGGACAGCCTGTGCTTCACACACCTGTGCATGGATCTGAGCAGGAGGTCAAGGTACACAGATGCAGGGACTTGGGGAGGTCCATTTTTCTGCCGTGCTTAGTGCACCTCTTTGGGCCAGGGAGAGCACTGTAGTAGCAGCCTTCCTCTCCTCCATCAGGTGCTGGGTGTTCTTGTGCTGTCATATGTACCCGACCCAACTCACACTCTGGTCCTGCTGTGTGATGTTGGGCCAGTTGCTTAACCTCTCTCAGCCTCCATCACCTCTCTGGAAGATGGGGTCTGTAATTGGTCCTCCCTCCAAGGTTTGTGCCAGCTTCTTAGCATGCAAACTGGTACAGAGTTAGCACTTGGTGAATGGCAGTTAATACTTTGAGTCTTAGAGGACTTGGCAGCACCAGCTACTCTTCCCTTGGACCACCCTCAATTAGCACTTAGCACCCTTCTGGCCTAAATCTAGGAGCAGTCCCTATTTCTCGGACTTGTTCAAATATTAAGCCACCCACGCAAGAGGGACTTGGCATCAGGTACGGTGGTGCATGCCAGTAATTCCAGCACTCTGGCAGGCTGTTGAGCCCAGCCTGGGCAATTTAGCAAGTTAGCAAGACCCTGTCTTAAAAAACCCAAAAAACAAAAAACTAGAATGTAGCTCAGTGGAAAAGCCCTGGGTTCAATCCCCAGTACTGAAAAACTGAAGGAGGAAAAAAAAAAAGGCTTGCATCAGCATTTTGCTGTCCGTGTGTTTGGGGTCCTGGGCTACCTGTTTCCCACCTGTCTCTGGCCAGCCCTGGGACAGGCTGTGACCAACCTCCTGTGATGATGGAAACATCCCACATCTGCACTTGTGTGGTAGACACTGGCCACTTGTGTGCTGAGCCCCAGGAACATGGCAAGATTGGCTGAGAAACTCAGTCATTAACGCTATTTTGTTTTGTTTTGTTTTATTTTGTACCAGGGATCAAACTTGGGACCGTGGGCTTGCAAAGCAGGTGGCAGAATCACTGAGCTAAATCCCCGGCCCTGCAACACTATTTTGGGGTTTTTTTGTTTTTGTGGTACTGGGGATTGAACTCAGGACTTTGCGCTTGTGAGGCAGGCATGGTGCCACTGAGCTAAATCCCCAGCCCCGACACTATTTTGTTTTAATGTGGTGTGTGGCTACCCTACTGGACAGCACAGGTGTAGCAATCTCAGGCAAGTATGAAGAGAGAGCGTGAAACAAACCCTGGTAAAGTGGAGGCAGCATCAGGGTCAGGCAAATAAAACGCTTCCTTTCTCTGGGCCTCAGTTTCCCCATCTTTTTTTTTATAGTACTGGGGATCAAACCCAGGGCCTTCTCACTGAACTACATCCTCAGCCCTTTTTAAATTTATTTTTGTTTGTTTTTTGGTTTTGGATACTGGGGATCGAACTCGGGACCTTGCACTTGTGAGGCAGGCGCTGGAACCACTGAGCTAAATCCCCGGCCAGGAAATGATTAAGTAAAAAAATAAAATAAAATAAAAGATTAAGTAAAACTTGATCAAGTGCTCAACACGGCTCTTTACCTCCATGCCCTTCCTCCCCCAAACCTGAAACTGTTGTCTGATTATGATAAAAACATCAGACGGAGTCCTTGTAAGGACCATCCTACAATGTGCCTGACCTGTGCTGCTCGGAACTAGGAAGGTCATCAAGAAGAGGACGAGCGCTGGGGATTTAGCTCAGTGGTTTCGCTGCCTGCTGTGCAAGCTCAAGGACCCGAGTTTGATTCCCGGTACCAAAAAAAAAAGAAAAACTTTGTTGGGCCAGGGATTTAGCTCAGTGGTTTCACCACCTGCTTCACAAGCGCAAAGACCCGAGTTCCATGCCCCGTACCAAAAAAAAAAAAAAAAGAAGACAGGCCAGGGATTTAGCTCAGTGGTTCTACCACCTGCCTCGAAAGCGCAAGGTC